TTTGATACTACATATATAGGTACTACATGTGGACTTCTCTCAGATTTGTTCATTTCGTGATGATATCTTTAATTCTCTAATTTTGGTGAATATTTTTGTCATTTTTGGTAAAAAGTGATATTTTCGACTTCTTGTTAAAAACCGCAAATCCGATTGCTTTGATATTACATATATAGGTACTACACGTGGACCTTTCTCAGATTTGTTCATTTTGTGATGATATCTTCAGTTCTCTAATTTTGGTGAATATTTTTGTAATTTTTGGTAAAAAGTGATATTTTCGACTTCTTGTTGAAAACTGTAAGTTCGATTGCTTTGATATTACATATATAGGTACTACATGTGGAACTCTCTCAGATTTGTTTATTTTGTGATGATATCTTCAATTCTCTAATTAATTTATTTTGGTGAATATTTTTGTAATTTTTGGTAAAAAGTGATATTTTCGACTTCTTGTTAAAAACTGTCCGATTGCTTTGATACTATTCATATTGTTCATTTTCTAATGATGTCTTCAGTTCTTTAATTGAAATGTGCATTGCTAACAGCGGAGCTATCTCAGCCGATAGGCTGCTTGTTTATTCTTGTTGGGAAAAGTAATCAGAAATCCTTAAATGCAGTGCAAATCTCATCGAAATAATAGATTACCTGCAAGTCACTGACATACCATTGTGAGTACAGAATATAATTATTTGTTTCTCTTTCATGAATTGTTATACCATTCTTATAACTAGATATGCCAAGAGATGCAAGGAATTCGTGACCAGCGAATGATGATTTTGAAAGGTAAGTGAACTTTGACCTTCTCACTGCAATATTCAAGTACCCATCATGCACTGCACCAGCCTGATAAATTCTGTCTAATGTCTGTTGCATTAGGTGCTGTTTCAGAGAGAAAAGTAGACGAAGGTACCAGTATCTCATTCAGTACACCAATGCAAGAACGTAGAGACAAAATCAGTGCTGACACAACCACCACTGATAAAGAGAAGTCTATGGAATCCAGCAAGCCTGAGACCAATGATGCCTGTCAACCAATGAAAATTAAGTCAGAACCAATTGATACTGATTACGCAAAAGCTGAAAAAACTGTAATGATGTCATCATCAAGCGTTCAGGAAAGTCCTGGAGATAGCAGCTTAACTACAATGTTTGAACAGTTTACCAAGAATCCAAAGAAGTTTGAAATAGAACCAGTTGATGAATCTGTGTTTGTTAATAGTACCCAACAAAATGGTCTGCAAGTGACAGTTAAAACTAACAAAGCTGGAAAAGAGTCGCATGCACAAACACCACCAATTGATTCTACTAATTCAGCAAAGAATCTATGTAAGGACTCTAGTTCTGAAATTACTTTGCCAAAAAGCTGTGTAAGTTTTGCCAGTGATAACAAACAGAAGAGTCAGACAGTAGGTGTTCAGGGAACGACTGACAAACCTGTGAATGAGAAGAAGAAGCTCAAACTTGTAAAGGATCGAAAGATAAAAAGCAAAAAAGCAACAGTGAGCGAGGATGAAGTTGCTCCACATGTTCGTAGTATGGAAGAACTGCAGAATTCAGCTCCGTACGAGGTCGCTGCTATCAATGCTAGTAGCGCAACATTGCGACAGCTTGCATCAAACTACCTAGAATTAAAAAATGCATCTACGTTATTCTTGAAAGAAACTAAATCAAGCACACAGGATTCTTCTCAAAGTGTCAAGCTTGGAGATGTACCAGTATCCAAAAATGATAGCATTGAGGACATGGAAATTGGTACAGACACTGATGTCAGCATACAAGTTGAGAATGGCTCACATAGTGTAAGAAGACTGAAAACTAGCCCAGACAGAAAAAAAACACATAAAGACATTTCTGGAAGAAAAACTGTTGATAGTCATTCACCGTTTCAGTCTGTTATTGATAGCATTATGGAGGAAAGTGATCATATTCTTCCAGTGTCTAAGTCCGTGAAGTTTGAGAATCAAGAACATTTCCCAAAGAAGGAGGAATCGCCCTCTTGGACAGCTCCACTTTCACAGGACATAAGAGTTGTGCTAAATGACATTTACAAGAATCCATTTGACAAGAAACCCATTAAAAGGGTGGATAACATTTGTGATACTAAGAAACCTCAAAAAGAGAGCCTGCTGTCTGTTCCTAAGGCTGGTCAATGTACATGTAGTGTCCAACATGGTACACAGGATTTTACATGGATGAAAGATTCATCCAACGTTAGTGAGTTTTCTGAAATAGTTAATATAAACAATGATAATGTGGTGGATTCCACACGACTAGATCAACAAATAGTGGGTTTAAATGAAGAAGCTGCTATTGAAAAGAAAAAGAAATCTCCCAAAATGTCAAAAGATGGAAGAAAAGTGAAAAGGAAGAAGAGGAAACCAAAGAATGAGGAACCAGATTCTGATGCTGATATCTCACTTGTTGTTGTGCCTAAACAAGTGGTTAAAAGAAAATCAAAATCAACAAAACCAGCTAAAGTTTGTGAGAATGTTTCTACATCGCTCACCCAACCTGAGGAGAGAAGGAAGCATAAACCAATAGTATTAGATCATTCTGCAGACTTTTTACCACTTGATGATGATGATGATGATTTGCAAAGAACTGAACCATACAGCACAGTATTACCAATAGATAATTCAACCGATGATGAACAGTCAAATCAGGAAATAGTTGAAATCCTACAATCATGTACTACTGAGGACAGCAAACATGACTCAGTGATCCCCTCTGAACCAACACTGATTGGATTGAACAAACAAATGGCTGCTAATGATTCAGATTTTATGTCCAATTATGAGGAAGAACCCATGCAGCTTGCAGACACAGAAGAAGATGCCAGTGCATCAGAATTTACAGTGCCAGTCAGTGCTGCACACGTCACATCTACAAATGACTTAGATGAATGTGAATCAGATGTATCCAAAAGTTCAACATTGGTTGATGGAGTCAATCCTCGGACATCACTGTTGTCAAGAGTTTCTATGTAAGTCCTACACTATATTATTATTGTGTTTCAAAATGGATTAAGTACAGATTTAAATTAGAATATTAGTATTTGCTCAATCAGTAGCACATGAGCTAGCATAAATGACCGAATCGTGTTATTAATGAATCATGTTATTGTGTACTGGATCGTATTAACGTTGTGCAATTTGATTTCTTGGTATTTATATATGTGCATGCATTACCTGTCATGTCTTGATTTGGATCATCTTTATTTGCCAACTGTATTACAATTAACAGGGACAGTCTGCAGGTATCACCACACATCAGAAGTAAATTTCGACTGCAGGTTTTGGAGCAAACTGGACTGTCATCCCAGGATACAGTTGGCACCAGTAAAGTAGAAGAGATGTCAACTCACGTTAGTTTGTCCACAGTGACATCATCTAAGCGATCTAACGGTAAAGATGAAAGACTTCCTGTGAACACACCAGAAAGAAGGCCTGACCAAACTGTATGCATTCCACAGTCCACCCAGTCTCAGCTACGCACCGGTTTATTTCGTGATCACCACACTGACAATGTGGTCGATATTCAGGCCATCTATGGAAACTTATTTACTGCATCCTCTGATGGCACTATTATGAAATGGAATTTAGAGGTAAGAACAACATCTAAGCTTCCATCTTTGTCTTTCTCTTCACTCATGGACTTCATCTGAAAGAAAGCTGGAATATCATTGGAGGCTACATCTGTATCCAATCATCTGCTTCATTGATGAATTTTCCTGTAAAGTTGGGTGGAACAATCAGTAAAAAGGTAGATTGAATATTATCTAAGCAAAAAAACTCAATTCCAGGGTGGTCGTACCAACAGCTTACTTAGCTGGCCAAACAGATGGCCAGCCAGGCAAAATAAGTAGGGTGGCCAGGCAAACAGTCAAGGGGAGACGGGCAAACAGGTAGGGTAGCCAGGCAAATGGGTAGGTCAGCCAGGCAAATAGGTAGGTCAGCCAGGCAAATAGGTAGGGCAGCTAGGCAAACAGGTTGACCCTGTTATTCATTGATTTCCTTGAAAAATTGGTAGAACATTATCTCCCAACTTTGAAAACATAGACATAGAACCTTCCCAAACTCTCATCTTGTACCAGTAGGCAGTATTTAGATGTTATTCTCATATTTCTCTTATATTCTAGCATGGGCAATGCAGTGCTTTGTACTCGCCACATGAGGGCGGTATTGGTGTACGTTGTTTGTTTGTGATTGGATCTGCCAAACAATTTTACAGTGTATCCAACGACAATGGTACAATGGTTCTCATGAATGCTGAGGTTGGTATACCCCATGAATTGATGATTTCAATAATCTAGCAAGAATAAGACGAAAGTATAATAGTTATATTACGATGGAATCTGAGTGTGATCCCATTTGTTTGACTTGCAAACCAGACCATGAGTAACTATCATTTAAGAAGATGATGTACCTCATATGTCAAAAACACTAAATATTGGAGAATGGCTAGTTTCTTTGAATCTTATGACAAATTTGTTTCTTCCCATTTTTCACTAATGCTTGGCTACCCATGAATATTCGGATGAGGACATTTTGAATTGTGTTGCAAGATTTTTGATCTATGAAAACTCTTGATAATTTTAACAGAAATAAATTGATAATTTTTTTACAGAAAGACATGCTTCTTCGAACATTCTCGCTTCCAGCTGCTGTCATGTGTATATGTAGTGCACTTCAGAATGTGTATGTGGGATTAGCCAATGGAATGGTGTTTTCCATGGTAAGACATTTATTATTGTAACATTCTCAACTAGCTGTGAGTAAACTACCATGTTCAACCATTTTTAGCTCTACTGTCATCTTTGTCGAGCAGACCTAATCACATTATTGATTGTCTTTTGTCATCATCCATGTAAACTTTTTACTTTTCAACTTCTAAAAAATCTGGTTGCTTTGATACTTGGTGTACATGTACCTTGGGCAGACCTCACTTAAATTTGTTTGTTTCGTGATGATAACTTCAATTCTCTAATTTTGATAAATGCTTTTGGTTAAAAGTAATATTTTTGACTTTTGATATTTTGCTTTGATATTATACATATAGGTTCCTCTGGTGGACCTTAATTTCGTGATGATATCTTCAATTCTCTAATTGAAATGTA